AAGATTAATAAAATTGACAAACTCCTGGCTAGACTCAGTAAAGAAGAAAAGACTTCAATAAACAAAATTAGATATGAAAAAGGAGAAGTTACAACAGACATCACAGAAATACAAAAAAAATCATCCAAAAATACTTTGAAAAACTATATACCACCAAATCGAATAACCTAGAAGAAATGGATATATAAAAAACTTTCCTAGACTAAATCATGAAAAACTGAAAAATATGAATAGTCCAATGAGAAGTGAGGAAATTGAAACAACCATTAAAAACCTCCCAAAAAATAAAAGTCCAGGACCAGATGGCTTTATTAGTGAATTCCACCAAACATTCAAAGATTTGATACATACCCTTCTTGAACTCTTCCAAAAAACTGAAAAAGAGGCAATACTTCCTAACATATTTTATGAGACCAACATAAACCTGATACTAAAACTTGACAAGAATACAACTAAAAAAGAAAACTACAGACCAATTATCTCTGACGAATACAGGTGCAAGAATCCTAAGCAAATTACTAGCAAATCGAATACAACAATACATTTAAAAATAATACACCACGATCAAGTGGGGTTCATTCCAGGGGCACAAGGATGATTCAATACACACAAATTGATCAATGTGATACACCACATTAACAAATCAAGGGGGAAAAAAAATCACATGAACTTATCGGTAGATGCAGAAAAAGCATTTGATAAGATACAACATCCATTTGTGATTAAGACACTCATTAAAATGGGTATACAAGGGAAGTACCTCAACATAATAAAGCCCATAGATAATAAATCCTCAGCTAATATCATATACAATGGTGAAAAACTGAAAGCTTTTCCTCTAAGACTAGAAAATAAAGCAAGGATGTCCACTCTCACCACTCTTAATCAACATAGTATTGGAAGTCCTACCCAGAGCAATCAGGCAAGAGAAAAAAAAATGAAAGGCATCTAAATTTGGAATGAAGAAGTGTCACTTTTTGCAGATAACATGATCCTTTATATATAAAACCCTGAAGACTCCACCAGGAAACTACTATAAACAATAAACAAATACAGTAAAGTTGCAGGATACAAAAATCAACAAAAAATTCACTGCATTCCTATATACTAACAATGAAACTTCAGAAAAAGAAATGAAAAAAAGCACTTCCTTGTGCAATTGCAACAAAAAGAATAAAACACCTAGGAATAAACTTAACAAATGGTGTAGAGGACCTATATACTGAAAACTACAAATGTTTATTAAAAGAAATTGAGAAAGACACAATAAAATGGAAAGATATTGTGTTCATGGACTGGAAGAATCAACAGTTAAAATGTCCATATTACCCAAAGCAATATACAGATTTAATGCAATCCCCATCAAAATCCTAATGACATTTTAGGAGCAGGTATAAATGACCCATGGACAAGGACAAGATGGTAGGGACTGACTCTGGGATTGGGGGGTAGGCAGGGCAGGGGAGAGCAACGGGGGAAAATTGGAATGGCTGCAATAGAATAAAAAATAAAGATAAATAAATAAAAACAAAAAATAGAAAAAATCAGATTGTTATGGAACCACAAAAGACCCTGAGAAAAAAGAATCAAGCCAGAGATATCACACTATCTAACTTCAATTTACACTACAGAACAACAATAATTAAAACAATATGGTACTGGCAGAAAAACTGACACAGAGTCCGATGGAACAGAATTGAGAGCCCAGAAATAAAACCACATGTACAATATGTGGGCAAATAATTTTTGACAAAGGAGTCAAAAGTATACAATGGAGTAAAGAAAGCCTCTTCAATAAATGGTGCTGGGAGCATTGGAAAGCCAAATGCAAAAAGAATGAAACTAGACCACTGTTTGTCCCCGTGTACAAAAATTAATCAAAATAGATCAAAGACAAATGTAAGATCTGAACCAACAAATTACAAAGAAGAAAACATAGGTGCTAAACTCGTGGATCTTGGTTTTAGAGAAGATTTTATGAATTTGACTCCAAAAGCAAGGGAAGTAAAGACAAAAATAAATGAATGGGATTATATCAAACTAAAAACTTCTGCACAGCAAAAGAAACTGCCAACAAAAAAGGCAACCAACCAAACGGGAGATGATATTTGCAAACAGCCCTGACTAGCAGTTACTATCCAAAATACATAAAGAACTCATACAACTCAACACCAAACACAGTCCAATTAAAAAAAAATGGTCAGAGGACCTGAACAGATATTTCTCGCAAGAAAATATACAAATGGCCAACAGATACATGAAAAGATGCTCAACTTCACTAGCTATTAGGGAAATGCAAATCAAAACAACAAGAGATACCACCTCACACCCGTTAGAATGGCTATTATCAACAAGACAAGTAACAAGTGTTGCAGAAGTTGTGGAGAAAAATGAACTCTCAATTCACTGCTGCTAGGAATGTAAACTAATAACAGCCACTATAGAAAAAAAAGTATAGCAGTTCCTCAAAAAATTAAGAGTAGAGTTACTGTATGACCCAGCAATCTCTTTCCTGGGTATCTATACAAAAAATTTGAAAACATTTATTCACAGAGATATATGCACCTCTGTGTTCATTGCAGCACTATTCATGGTGGCAAAAACATGGAAACAACCAAAGCGTCCTTTGATAAATGACTGGATAAAGAAGATATGGCACATAAATACATATACAATGGAATACTACTCAGCCATAAGAAAAGATGAAATGCTGCCATTTGTGACAACATGGATGGACCGTGAGAATATCGTGCTAAGTGAAATGTCAGTCAGAAAAAGCTAAGAACCATATATTTCACTCATAGATATAAAACTAAAACTCATAGACACAAACAGTGTGGTGATTACCAGTGGGAAGGGGGATAGTAAAAGGGAAAGGGGACCAAATGTATGGTGAAGGAAGATGATTTGACTTTGGGTGGTAGGAACACAATGTAATATACAGATCATGTATTGATTATCATAGAAATGTACACTTGAAACCTATATATCCTTATTAAGCAATGTCACCCCAATATATTTAATAAAATAATAATTTATGTAAATTAACATTAAAAACCCAATTAAAAAGTTAGCAGAGGACCTAAACAGACATTTCTCCAAAGAGGATATACAGATGGCTGATACACATATAAAAGATGCTCAACATCACTAATCATCAGAGAAATGCAAATTAAAACCACAGTGAGCTATCACCTCACACCTGTCAGAACGGCTATCATCAATAAACCAAGAAACAGCAAGTGTTAGTGAGGAGGTGAAAAAAAAAGGAATCCTTGTGAATTGTTGGTGGGAATGCAGATTGGTGCAGTCAATATGAAAAACAATATGGACGGTCCTAAAAATATTAAAAATAGAACTGCATTATGACCCAGTGATTCCACTTTTGGGTATTTTTCCAAAAAAATCCAAAACACTAACTTGAAAAGATATATGCATCCTTATGTTCACTGCAACATTATTTACAATAGCCAAGATATGGAAACAACCTAAGTGTCCATCAATAGACAACTGGATAAAGACAATGTGATACATATATAGAATGGAATACTATTCATCCATAAAAAATAAAATCTTACCATGTTACAACATGAATGGATCTAAAGGACACTAATTCTAAGTGAAATAAGTCCAACAGAGAGAGACAAATATCATATGATCTCACTTATATGTGGACTCTAAGGAACAAGTAAATGAACAAACAAAATTGAAACAGACTCATGGATACAGAAAACAAACTGATGGTTGCCAGGTGGAAGGGTAGTTTGGGGGCTGGGTATAAAAGGTGAAGGGATTAAGAAGTACAAAATAGTCATAGGGATGTAAAGTACAGCATAGGCAATATAGTCAATAATATTGTAATAACTAAGTATGGTGCCAGTTTTTACAATAATATTGTAAGTATGGGTACTGGCTTATTGGGGGGACTACTTTGTAAATTATATCAATGTCTAACCACTATACTGTACACCTGAAGCTAATATACTACTGAATGTCAACTATAATTGAAAAAAACTGGTCATGTTAGTATACTCCTTTTTGGACTGAATTTATTTTAAATCACCAATAGTGCACCTTCATTATATTTTCTAAAGTAATCAAATAACTTAAGACATATGTCACAGTAAATTCTAATGACTTAAGAGAAATTTTTTCATTAACTGTAAGAAAAAAGTGTTCTTTATATACATACCAAGGGTCACTGAAGAAAATTTAAAAATAAACGCTTTTCCTTAGTGTAATAAAAGCATATGATTTAGAAGCAAATCATCTATAATTACAAGTATCAATTTTCCATAATTTTTCTTCACTGAGAATCAAGAAATACAAGCCAACAAACAATGTAACAATATGAGACTACATTACCAAATATAAAATATATTGCTACCATAAATCAAAAAGCACATTATTTTAATCTATTCCCCATTATTTTAAATTTTAAAATTTTCATATATAGTCTGTATTTAGTCCAAAAAAAACCCATTAATCTCACTTTTGCTATGTTAAAATTTATCATAATGCAACCTTCTGGCAATAGCCAGAGGAAGGATGGATTCTGTTACAGACATGAAATAACTATAAAAAACTTAAACTGTGATGTTAATGGCATGGACACAGTTCTACTGAACACAAGTGAAGCTAAACAAGGATTTGTTTTTTTATCTCCTGTGCATTATACTCAGGTTAGCTAGTCTCTCCTGCTAATGAACTAAAAATCGGAAATAATAAACTGAAAACATGAGGTATGTTGCAATAATGATTTTTAAGGGCAGGGCAGAGCAATGGGGGAAATTGGGACAACTGTAATAGAACAATAAAAAAGTGATTTCTACTTCAAAAAAGAACAAAATTTCAAAATATTTTAACATGAAAAATGCTTAACAAAATGTTCATTATCATCTTTTTTCCCTATTATTTTACTTCCAGGATTTCAAAGATACTGAAAATGATACAGAATAAAATATAAGTAATTTTATACTCTCTTAAACATACTAATTTACCTGTAGACATCATTATTTTGTATGACCCAGGAGAGGAATCCTTATATGCAACACCACGGCCTCTGGTCAGCATCTTTACAGAAGTTGAAGATGTGGAACACAGAACAGGAAAAAAAAGAAAAAAAACAAGAAAATAAACCACCAAAAAACCTCCACAAGTATACATTATCCTTTAAAACATTCCTAGATAAGGTAATCAGAAAATTATTGACATAACTAGTCCACAAATGATGTTTCCAGAGGTCCTCAGTGTTGGGGGGGGTGGGTGTGTGGGGGTGTGTGGGTGTGTGTGGGTCTCTCTCTCTCTCTCTCTCTCTCTCTCTCTCTCTCTCTCTCTGTCTCTCTGTCTGTCAGTCACAAGCTGCAGTACTTGCCACACTGTGCTTCTCGGAGAGACCCATGATCTGGTCAGGTGGGAGAAAAGGAGACCAAGAGGCCAAGGTTCACAGTGCTACTCCTGCTCCAACTGGTAACACCTTAGCAAAAATAGTTTACTCTATAAAACTTATTTTATTTTTTGAGGTTCCCTGTAAAACAAGTTTTTTCACATTGCTAAATAAAGTCTGTTAATCTAATCTAGCAATACATCAAATTGGGGTGAAGGACCTCAACAAGACAGAGGACAAACTTTAGAAAGCAGTCACTTGTCTGGTTTTTACTGTATCCAGTCTGCATTTCTCCATATTACACATGATCATTCTGACATTACAAGTAGCTTGTGCACAAAATTATGCCTATTGTATATAAGAAACAAATGTCTTCTGGGCTTTGTTAAACATGACTAGTGCTTTGTTTATTTTCTATCAACTCTTGAGGTTTTTTGGGAGCTGTTTCAAACACGGCTCTCCAGTATCAGAGAAGGGGCTCTTGTGTCTAGAAAAGGTAATAAAAGGATATTTAAAAGGCAAGAACAAGGAAGAAGAAAAATAGGATAACAAGCAATGTTGTTGGATTTTTCTTTGTTTGTTTAAATTAATGACAGTCATTTGGTTCACAGCATTCTAGTAAACAATGTTAATTTTTAAGTATTAAATTACTAGTGATGACATTTCTTGTTCTTTATTTTAAAAATCCAAAATCTGAATCCTTTGACTTAAGACATACCAAAATAGTATGTTTACATTAAAATGATAAACCAAAGGGGAAGAGCTGAGGGAGGGAAGGTGGGAGGGGGCAAGGGAAAGAGGTGGGGGGAAGGCAGAGACAAATGTATTTAAAAAGTAAATAAATTAATTAAAAAAAATAAAAAATAAATTAAATGTACAATTATTTGGAAAACATGTTTCTATACCTCTAGAATCCTTTAATGGGGGAGGAGAACTAGTTGCAAGTAAGGAATCTATTGCAAAAATAATTCTTACTACTCTAGTTCAAAGACTTTCTAAATAACTAAACTATGACATGGCAGTACTGGAACAGGAAGATAAGTAACTGCATGAGAATCTTCACATTTTCATGATAATGAAGCTGGAGAAGATAAAACGTGAATTGAAAATACTTCCTTTGAAACAAAAAATAGTTGATAATTCAAAAATTACAGTTTCTGTCCCTTGCCCCTTCCCACCACCATATAAACAGTATTTTCAAAAAGATCTTTGCAAAATAGTCAAATTAACATTGGCATTATTTCAAAATTAAGGAGTCAATAGAAACTTTTTGGAGTTATCTTCTACCACCACCATTATACCAAATAATCACACAGACTTTTTCAGAAGCTTGAAAATATGCATTAAACATGTATCAGTGACACCCTTTATACACCTTAGTTTTTAAAATGCATCTAAAGTATTATTTCCCTTTAAATTTCATTAACTTTTCTTAATTTTATGTGATTTTGTTTCCATTGCAAGGGACTTTTTTCCATCACCATTTATCACCCCGATACCCTCCTTCCAACTCCACCCACTCCCCTCCTTCCCACAATTACCACGTCGTCCATAAGTTCTCTTGTTTTTCTTCCTTTTACACTCAATCCCTCCACCCCTTCAACCCTCCCCAGAGCTGTCGGCCTACTTTCTATCTATGAGTCTGTCTGTATTTTGCTTGTTAGTTCAGTTTATTCCTAAGATTCCACATATGAGTGAAATCATATGGTACTTGTCATTCTCTGACTGGCTTATTTTATTAGCGTAATGTCCTCCAGGTCCATCCATGCTGTCGCAAACAGTAAAATTTTCTTCTTTTTTAAGGCCGAGTAGTATTCCACTGTGCAAATGTACCATAGCTATTTTATCCACTCATTACTGATGGACACTTGGGCTGCTCCCAAATCTTGGCTATTTTAATTTATTTTAAATGTGAAAAATTTCATCTGCCAATGATTTACATTAGAATAATCTGCTTGATTTTTTTCAATGTTTATGATTTTATCTTTAAAGTATATTCAGTTCTATTGGCTTTATTTTATAAATTTTGAATTCCTTTCAAAATGAAAATATCAGTATTAATATAAATATTTTAAATCAAAATTGCATCATCACTTTGCTCCATACTACAAACAGTTGAAACAAAACAGAAATGTGTTATCTGTTGGTGTCAAATGGCTAAACTCAGAAATGTTTAAGACAATACTGCTGAAATTTATTTCAGTTCTAACAGATCTAGGAAAATTCTATGTCTTCATATTTAGAGTGTATCTCTTGTAGACAGTATATTGGTCTTTTAAAAATCCATTTTGATAAGCTCTTTTTAAAAAATGCATTGGGGTGACAATGAGTCACAAAACCATACAGATTTCAAGTGTACAACTCAATAAAACATCATCTGCACACTGCAACACGCACCCATCACCCCAAGCAAAGTCTCTTTCCATCTCCATTTCCCCCCCTTTGCCCATCTTCACCTACCCTGCCCCCTTCTCTGGCTATCACCACACTGTTGTCTGTTTCTATGTGAGATATATATCTGTATCTGTATATAGATATAGACAGATATATCTTAGTCACTTTGAGTTCTTAAGCTCTTTTAATTAGAGAGCTCAGCCCACTAATTTTTCACATAATTAATATGTTTATGTCTAGGTCTATCGTTTTCTAATTGTCTCCTCTGTGTTTTGCTCTATTCCTCCTCCTTTTTTTTTTTTGAAAACTTAAATATGTCTTAAGAGTTCCATTTTAATTTTCCCAGTGGAATGGCTTTTTACTTATATTTCTTTGCATTTGTGTTTTTACAATATACCCCGGGGATTACAATGTTCAATCCATATAGTTAATACAGTACTACTTGACATAAAATGTTGAAGCCTTACATTTATACAAATCCATGTCCCCCAACCCAAGACTTTATACTGTAATTGTTTTATATATTCTATCTATATATGTTATAAATCCCACAAGACTATAATTATTGCTTTAAATAATCACATTATAAAGAAACTATGAAGGAAAATGCCAAAAAGGAAGCCATTTGCATTTACCAAGAGATAAACTTCCTTCCACATTTCATAATGCTCGTCTGCCAGTGTATTTACTAAGTATGACTTATCTGAAAATGTAATCTTTTAGTTTCCCTTCATTCTTGAAGGATATTTTTGCCAGATACAAAATCTTGTATAACTCCCCTCCCTCCTGTGTGTACTTCCTCCCACCCCTAGAGTATGTCAGTTTCTGTTCTGTCTCAGTGTCTTCAGGTAGCTGCTTTTTCTATTATTTTCAGGTTTGAAGGTTTGAGTTGTTTTCTTTGGGGAAATCAGTTAAACCGAATATAACTCTAGCATCATTAAATTGACAACATTTGATTCCCTCATTCCCCATTTATTGAGGTATTATTTATATACAGTAAAATTCATTTCACACTGGTTTTTAGAGTATACTGATGTAAATAAACTGGCCTGAACATAAATACAACCATGCAGTACTTTCAAGTGTTCTTTGGGGTCCCCCCCCCAGTTTAATTGTTCTATGCATTTATTAGTGAATATTAATGCAGCAAAGAGGTGACTAAAGGTCACATTCTAGTTTCACAATGCACATTGTAGGAAAAAAGTGACTAAGGATCAACAGTATTCTAGGGTCTTGGTGGACTCACTCTGAGGGGAGGTGGACCTCTAACTCCTAGTGGAGGAAGTATCATTGCTGGACAGAGTATGCCTGTTGACATCCCTTGAGCAGGGGAAGCCCAACTGGTGATCCCATAGGTGGTCTCATACCAGGTAGAGAAGCCATAATGCTTGGAGGTGGGGTTGCTCAGCTCACAGGTGTGGGGGGAGTTCCCCTACTTGGTGGGTAATCAGTTGGAGCTCCAGCAATGCTGACAATGGCTGTCAACTGCTGCAGCTGCTACAGTGCTTCTTCCCTGTGCAGTCATTACCTGCTGGGATGGCCCCCCCCAACCCCTTAGACAGGGCCTGCTAATCTAGCAGGAGCCTGGAGAATTGGAACTCGAGTTGGTACTCCTCTGCCAGTGGCCCTACCAATCGCAGGGCCTCCTGCAGCTCCAGAAAGTGGTACTCAAACAATGCCAGTATCTTTGGAGGGAGGTACCTCCACACTTGTGAAAACCAAGTCATCCCTATGTAGCAACGCCAGACCCCAAACCTTCTTTTCTTCATGCTCTGGCTGCTGCTTCACATTCTTTGGCTTGGTATTCCTGAATTTATCACAGAGTGGATCAAGTTCATATGCTTGTCAAAAGCCTTAAAGGTGCCAATGAAGATTCGGCCATCTTGCAGGATATATTTCATTCTATAGTCTATGTGCTTCAGCATCTTGCTGCTCATTCCCCGAGTCATGATTGCTGTTCCACCAAATTCAACGTCCACAGTAAAGTTTCAGGATCCTTAAGACCTCAGAGAAGACTACAGCTAAAGGTATGATGCAGGTTCTGCTACAATGTGAGTGGTACTGAAGCTTCAAACAGTAGGTGGAGCCTGTTTTTGCTTTTGCTCAGAATCGACTACCTGGGATGTTCCAAGATTGTCTTAACCAACCAACTCTTGGTGTCTCAGCTAAGAATGCTTGCCTTAGTTCCGCCAGGTACTTGCTGCTGCTGATATTGCCTCGGGTACAGCTGACATTCTTGGTTGCTTCGTGAGGCTGTCCTCCTACATTTGACTTGGACTTCCACCTCTGGTATGTGCTTTTTCATAGCCCTTTTCAGTGTAAATGGTACCCAGCCCACTCCATTGCACCGCTGGCTGCTCCTCAGAACACAGTATTAGGCATCTCCGGCAGCGACTCCACTCTGCACTGTACTTGCAGCTGTGGTGTCAACTAATCTCAATGTGGTTTTGAAGAGGTCAAACACTATTTAGGTTTACCCAAGAAAAGAAATGCTAATCTCGATGGCTATACAGGCCTTAAATATACTTAGTAAATTCCTAAAGGGATTCATCATAGTCTTAGTAAATCCTAAACTATATGCTATTAATAATAAGGCACTACAGAGACCTGTAATACAAATTAGTAGCAGTTACAACTAACCTTTTTGGGGCCTTTGCTCCTTGGTGTGACATTTTTAGCAGAACTTTCCTTCTTAGGGACTGGAGAATATCCAGCTGGTTTAGTCCGACCTGATCTCCTGGGCTGCGGTGTTGGTAATGTTACAGTAGTTTTCCTTGCAGACTTCATTGACTGCTGGATTACTTTGGAAAGGGTTTAAATGACATAATTAAGGTATTATCTTCTTATGACTCAAAATAAATTTAAATAATTACAAACAGCCTGGAAGTTATTCGTTGAAAACTACTTAAAATAAAGGTATCATTTAAATGAAGTTTTAGATATTTAAGATTTCTTATTATCAGGAAATAATCTAATTCTCCAGAAAAAATAAAGAGGCTTCTATAAGAGGAGCCAGTAACTTTAAACTTAGCACAGTGAAAATTTCTAGCTATTTACCTTTTGCCCACTTCTCATATTTTTAGCCCTTAGCACAGAAAACAGTTTCTCCTTCAGAACATACTATCCAATTATGCCATATACAGGAATTACCTTGCCAATTAATATAAAAAAACCGACGGCTCCTGTTTCATCTTTCAGAGGCCAGGGGAATCCCCTGCACTTGATTTTTAATGGCTAAGGTACATTATGTTCTTGCATGTATGTCTAATAAGAAAGCTTCATATACTACAATACAGATACTACATTAACATTGTCATGTAGGACCACCACCACATCCAACTGATTTGTATCTACTAGTTACTTGGTAGTCCAAACCAGACAGTTTTAATATTTCAAATGATAGTTACCTGCCATATTACTTTAGCCTATGGACACAATTTAGCATTAATACCCTAATAACTTTATTACAAAAAATGAATTTTATATGTAATAAGAAGTACTAGTGTCAAACAAAAATTCTTTACAGGGCAAGCTGTATAGTAAAACATTTATACATCTATATAAAAGTCAACTGCTTTTATTTTGAGAATTTCATTTGACAACGTGACACCAATCTACTGCTTGGCTCCTCCCATACTCAAAGACTATGTGTAGGTCTGACAGATCTTTGATGAATACCACATCTTCCCTGCAGCTGTTTTATCTACCTTCTCTCACTTACCATGCCAAGAGGAGGGAACAGTCTTCTCTCAGCTGACAGGGCAAATTGAGGACCACTTAATTGCCACCATCGTTTTCCCGCTTATTTACAGTAATTCACCATCTCACACCAGTCTCTTCTTACCTCTTTATTATCATCTACCTCATTCTCCACACTCACTTCCACTTTCTTCAATAACTCCAGTAACTTAATTCACATTATTTCTTCTTACACAGTTACCCTATCATCATCTTCAGGAATTTAACCGTCACTCTTCTCATACTTCATCATCCTGACTTCATTATTGGAGATTTAAGCTCTTCCCTAAAATGGTTATGCTTAGCAGTTTCTGGAACTCCTCTATCTCCAAGATAACGAACCGTGCCCATTTCTCTATCTCCAAACTTCCTTACCTATCATTTTTGCTTCATACCAACTGACCATGCTTTTCATTCTCTCTCTGAGATCTAGCCACAAGCCCTCTCCATTTAGTCCAACCTATTAGCTTTCTTCTGGCTTTACTCTCTATCAATCTGTACCCAGCTTTCCACTTCCACCAACACCCTTTGATCTCTGATCATGCCCAGCATGTCAGTTCCCACATATAAATCACACTAACATTTGTGTTCTCTGGTCCTGAGCAATAGAACAAGGGTTAGCAATCTTTTTCTTTAAAGGGCCAGATAGTAAATATTTTAGGTTTTAAAGGTCACATACAGTCGCTGTCACATACTTTTTTGTTTCTTTCTTTGTTTGCTTGTCTTTTTAAACCCTTCATGAATATTAAAACCATTCTTAGCTCACAGGCTACATGCGCTAGAAGTGGCCCTTGGGTTGCAGTATGCCAACTCCTGCTATAAAACATTAAGATGTTACTGATCACTGTAAAATCTATGCTAACTTCAATTGGGGTGTCATTATGCCAACTCACTTATTTCCAAGTATGTTTCCCTGCTTAAGTTCCCATCTCCCTCTTGCCCTATTCCATTCAGCAAATGCCCTTACCTTCTACTGCATGAAAAGATTAAAGACCACCTTTCAGGAGTGACCATAACCACCCCATTTTTCCACCTTTAAAATACACTTCTTTTCATTCATTCTCATCTCTTCCCCTTGTATCAAATGAAAAGTTTTCTTTCTACTCCCTAAGTCCAATTCCCATTTACTTATGTCCTAATAACCATCTTCTTTGGTTCCTCACGGACATTATGGTTTCAATATCTCCTCTCCATGGTATATTAATCACTTGAGCCCCAAGCCCTTGCGCTCTTGTATAACACTCACATATCCCTTATTTTGAAGCTACCTCCTCTAGTTTTTAGTATACTTTTAAGCCCTTGCATGAACCCTCCTTCTACTGACTACCAAAATACCAAGAAGATCACCTATAATTGATACTTTAATTTCCTTATTATTCTGTTTCCTTAGCCCCCCTGCAGCAACTGTTTCTTCTCCCAAACATATTTTTAAAGAAATTCTTTCCAAGGTCACTAATGACCCCTTCCTAGTTACTAAATCCACAAAAATCCCCATTCTCTTGACAATCTACCCATCTTCACAGTTCGGGTCCAAGCTGACTCAGCAGAATATAATCATAAAAGCATCTCTATTGCCCAAGCAGTTGACCATCAGAGACATGTGGTATTTACTTCCATTTACTGCAGCAGGGGCATTCTCTGTCCTGGCCAGACACTGCCCACACTTCAGTCCTGCCTTGTACAGGTCTCTGCCTATTACTCTTCCTTTTATCATCACTTAAAGGTTTCTCTAAAATACTGCTTTTTCACCTTCTCATCTTCTTACTGTGCCCAAAACGAACATAGAAGTAAGACCCTCTTCACTTAAAGAGGTTCATTTTTTTTTCACCTAATCACTACAAGAGAAAGGATGGCAAACACAGGAGAAGTTATAAAGGAAAACAGGATCTCTAATTTTTAGTAGTAGCTGGAGGGGGTATTTTATGAAAATGAGACCTTTTCATCTTTTATCCCTGTGGGGCCTTGCACCAAGTTAGCTATTCTAACCGGCCCAGTCCCCTGCTCATTTAACAAGCAGAGATGGTTTGGTTGGCATGGTAAGACTTCAATAGGGTGAACATATCCAGTCCCTGTTGCCTGAGCTCCTCCATTTTTCTTCCTGAGTCTCTTCGATGACCCATGTAGGTTTCCCTCTCAATATCAAGAACCACAGTTTTACAGTATTAACAATACCCTAGACACATAATAAAGGGTAACTCCCACACAGAAAGAAATAAATAATTTACTTGGAAAAGTAAAAATATGCTTTTGGAGTCTGACAGAACATCCCAGTTTGGGAAGTGGTGCTATGTCTTTTCCAGCAGCTTTAAGAAGTGATGTCTGGACAACTAAACCAAAACCAAATATTCTGAAATGATCTCAAGCTTTGATCCACTCCCTTCTCCCCCATTTCAAAACAGGGCTTGGAGAACTAAAATAAACAGACTAAAAAAGAGAGAAAAAAACTCTTCATATTCCTTATACCTATATAATTTGCATAGTATATTCTATCCTAAGGTTATTGAAAAGTTGTAAAAATGTTACTGGAAAGAAATTCCCAAACACAATTCAAAGGTTAAAGGAGAACTCTCTAATTTAAATTACAAAAGTCCAGTTAAGTTGTTTATCTCCATACCTACATGACAGTATCTCTTTTCTTTGCACACGTGCTAAATTAAAGTAAGTTGAATTTAGTAGAAGTGACATGGTTTTCCTACCCTGTTATGTCATTGTATCTCGTAAGTATTCAGACTAGACAGGAAATCATAAAAATGCAAAAACAAGCTAGAAATCACAGAATTTAGGAGGGCTTTAATTTAAGAGTGTTCTTTTAAAAATATATGTTTTCTACTTGCCAGTCATAGATGCTCTTTACACTACTCCCTTCAGCTTCATGGGGGTTCTTGCTTCCCATGAAAACCCTTTTTTTTAAAAACAATTCCTATTCATACCTGTTCACTTCAAAAGAACCAAGATTTTTGGTCACCATATTATTATTAAAGAAGATGGCCATTTTCAAAACCTTTAATATTTTTATTAAAAAGTTCATATGAAAAGAAGCAACTTCAGTTGTTTGAGGTCAATTCATATCATCTAACAATACTGAGCCTTTAAAAGCCATTCAATTTTTTTGCCCTGGCTGGGGTGGCTTGGTGGATTGAGCGCAGGCCTGTGAACCAAAAGGTCACTGCTTCAATTCCCAGTCAGGGCACATGCCTGGGTTACAGGCCAGGTCCCTCGTTGGGGGTGTGCGAGAGGCAGCCAACTGATATGTCTCTCTCACATCAATGTTTCTCTCCCTCTCTTTCTCCCTCCCTTCCCCTCTCTGAAAATAAATTAAAAAAATCTTTTAAAAAGCCATTCCATTTCTAAACCATAATATTTTTTCTTACTGACTTCAACAGAGTGACTTCCATTACGCTATTAAAAACAATCATAGCAGTCATTGCTATAACTTCCACAAAACTCATTAAATGTATTGACACAATATTTAATTAGTAAAATGTTATCCACATTTTTATGTCATAAAAATACTTTTAATAAGTCTCATGTAATACCAGTGAAAATTATAGAAACTACAAAGCTACAGAAAAATATTGGCAATACTTTTCATTACAAACTGTAGATTTAAATGATCAAGTCTAACTTACAATAGGGTTGTTCCTTTTTTGTTTTAAACCACTTTTATGGTGGAAATAACCAAAGACTGACTTTTCCTTGTATCATAAAACAATTTTTACCGGTGACTTATCAAATAATAGCTACAACAATTTCAATAAGTAACAGAATAAAAAAGGATTTTTGAGATAACATAATGACTGGATGTTTAGCATACAAAAGCTAACAAGGCAGACAATGAATTTCTTTAACCATACTTCAACTACAATATAAAGAAACTTTGGGGGTAATTCCTACCTTTGGAAATATTCCAGAGATACAAATTGTCGTTGCATTTACCATTAAGGTGATTTAGATCCCACTCGACAGCCTTTTCCTTTACTGGGAATAAAACTGCCTTTCTGAAGAAAGCACATCAACAACAAAGCCCATGTTGCCCAAGCAAGCCTGAATTTCAAGCAAACGG